GGAGGGAGCCCGGGGCCGCCGGGTGCCCCCGGCCGGGCGCCGCCTCCGGGGCGGCCTCTGAGCGTGCTTTTCCCTCCTGTCCGCGCAGCTGGTGGGTTCGGACGAAGGCCTCCAACAGAAGCTGGCGGAGGCGATCCTCCGAGAGAAGAAGAACTTCAAGATCAGTATGTGAGTGGTGGGGAGGGGGATGCGCCGCCTGCGGCCCCGGCCCCGGCCGCAGGACCCGAGCGGGATCGTACCGGGGCCCTCTGCTGCTTTGCCCAAGAGATGGAGCCAAAGCAGCGGCTGTGATGCGAGTTCACGAAAAGTTTCTGCTTCAGAAATGCAGGCACCGAAATTGCGTATAAATGCAGCTTCTACCCAAGTGGCGGCAGCGGGAACGGCAGGGCGTTCGTTTTAAGGAAAGAATGTGCTCTGGTGAGCGCTGGAGTGCACTAGTGCACGGATGTGGCTGGCATCTGCAGGCGGCAAGCCGCCCTGTCTTCGGGGCAAGCAGCTTGGGCATGATTAGGTATGGGGGTGGAAATAATTCTCGCATTCATCGTGCTTACTATGCACATACCATTGCCCTTTGCATGTTGCACGGGTGCTTGATTAATAAATTGCAAGGGTATGAGAGGAGCACAGATTTTTTTTTTTTTTCTTTTTTCTCCTGGGGGACAGACATATACAGGAATTAAACATCCTGGGACAAATTGGGACGAGTACAATGCTTGCAACTAGTTGAAAGCAAACAAGTTTTCCTGAAAGACGCCTATTACTTTTGGGGCTCTTCATAGCCGTTTTCTGGTTTGTATGCATGCACGTGCTTTTCCTCCTCGAGCTGTTAAGATGCATTTGGAATTTTAACTTTAGCTGCATGACAAGTCCTGCCTTAAAAGCTTGATTAACTAACTTTTTACGATATAATGTCCTTGACAGCTCTCTTGCCAAGACCAAATGAGTTTAGTCAGCTCTTCAGAAGGTGTTTGTGTTATTTCGCTGCTGTAATCCAAGGCTATGCAGTAAGGGCAAACCCAAGCTAATGCTCTACTAACCGGTTAGAGCGACTGTACTGCTCTGATCACGGCATCTTGGATGTTTCTGCTAACTAGTAGTAAATTAAATTACCCGATTCTCTATGCAAATCCTGCAGCCTCTGCTGAGCTGTGGAGTACCATAACTAAACGGCTACTGGTGCTACACCGGGGTAACTACCCAAAGGCATGGAAACTTATGCTCTGCTACAGAGCAAGATAAGTCCCTGCACTAGTATCACTAGGGAAGTACAAATCCCTGAGGAAACAGAAGTCTGTGACGGTTTTTTTTTTTCCCAGTGTGTGGCTTTGGGATTATACACATTACAAAGAAATATGGTATCTTGTCTGGCAAGTCTACCTGCCAGATACAGCTGTTGGGAGAATTGCAGGGCTGGTGTTTTTGTGTCTCTTACCACGAGGGAAAAAAAAAAAAGGCTTCTACAGCACATATCCGGAGGCTGCTCTAGTGATGTTGGTTTAAATATAGTAGTTTAAATAGTCATTTTATCCAAATCACGGAGGTTTTACGGGTTGTTTGTTTTTTTCCCCCAGACAATGAGATCTGATATCCTTTCACCACAGCTTCTCCCTAAATTTCACCTTAAATTGTTTGTGTTGCAGTGTGTCTTTCAAGCGTGCTTTGCTCATATCGTGTGTTAGTTTCAAAATGTTTTTGTTAAATCATACCTTCCTTATTTACAGGAAACAAAACACCTTTATTCAGGGACTGGCAGACAAAACTACAAACTGCATATGATTAATAAAGGGAATGTGTACTGTGGTCTGTGGCTGCTAGGAGAAACTGTTAAGTCCCTCAGATTTAATTGCTAGAAATAATATTCCCCAAGGAGACCAAAATCAGTGTTTCTCTCTTGGCTTCCAGAGAGGAAGTGGATTGTGAGACTGAAATTCTGGGATTTTTGTTTGTCTGATCTATCTTTCAGGTGGTCTTCCAAAAATATGGTGCTGATAATATTCTTCCCTGTGGAAGGCCCAGATATACACTACTGAAGTGCCCTTTTTTTTTTTTTTTTTAAATTTGTAGCAGGAAGAGACACAAAAAATCCCCACCCTGTAATTCATCTTCCAACAGCTGTATCGGCAGTGGTGGTATTATGTAGAAGGACACCTAAACTAACCTAGTAACTCCTGACGCAGTGAAAGGGATAAAAAGGCGGGTAATGGTATCACAGAAGCTCTTTCTGAGTTATAACTTCATCTATAAAGCTATACTAGTGATAAATTTCTGGTTTAAGGTGTTGTGAATACAACACATCTTTCTGTAACATGGGCACCTGAGAAGGTAGCCTCTCCTGTGTGAGTGTATGAGCAGTATCTCTGGAATGTGACAGGAAAGAACTGACGCACTTTAACTGAAACTTGGCAGCAAAATATACCAGTAAAGCATTGGGGTTCACTCTGTTAGAAAGGACTCATTCTTAACAATTAAATAAAATGACTGCAATACAGATCTGTGCGGAGAAAATGTTTCTGTCAGTCTTGTTATGCTCTAATAAGCTTCCCATTATAAACAACCTTGTCTAGCAAGTATTATTGTGGCTGTCAGCACTTCTGAGTAGGCTAAGATATGAGAATATCACTTAAAGAATCACAGTCTCTCTTCGGTGCCTACGTATTTAGTAATCAGCAGGCTTCCTGGTAACTTCCTACATGGTGAACTGCAATGGTTATGTGCTTATGGTTAAGTGGATGCTGCCTTGCCAAGCTATTTGCTTAAACTGGCAAATTTATTATCTTTCAGTCACCTTGCTACATCCCTCCCCTTACCTTCAGAGAGGGATCACCTTCGGCCCAGGATAGATCTGATTGCGTTTATGATTGACATCAAGAGCAAATACAGGTAAAAGAAGGGCAAAAATATGAGAGGGGAATCTGATGTTCTTTCTTAGATTGATGGCTAAATCTACTTTTTTACTGTGTCAGAGTCGCTGAATAGTGGATTTCAAACCCAGGAGTTGCTGTGGTGGGAGAGCTCAGTAATACATACAGTGGTTTTCTGGCCTCCAGCAACGGACTAGGACTGAACCGCTCAGTCCAATAACGTGCCTGTTGTGCATTAAGCTGCCATAGCAGAGAAGGCAGAATTTATTCCTGGATCCAGACAGGGGATGATATGAACCAAGCTTTGAAAAGATGCTGTCTGTAATATTAGATGGAAACAATGGTGGTGCTGTTAAGTTCTGTAATATGTAGATGGCTGATGGGTGCTGGGCAGTGCTACCTAATAACCAGCCGGTTGCTGCCTGTGTGTCCCCAGTTCACTGATACCACTGGTCAAGCGGGATCAGCACTACAGACGTCTCGAGGCAAAAGAGAAAGGTCTGCAGAGATTGATCCCTTTTCTCTCATCTTGTGCTCATCTTTGTAGAAATGATATTTGCGTCCCCAGGCCATAAGTAAAGACTTGCTAAGGCACAAAAGTCAGCATTTTATTACTTAACTTGTGACTGATGATCCTGGGCTCTCATTTACCAAAAATGACAGGCCCAGCTGCATACTTACAGCACAGATGGTGCTGCAGAAATGTGTGGGCTAGCTTGCGATCTCTTCCGAAAGAGCCGAAGTAGTGCTGAAGTCTCATTGGACGTTAATGAATCTGGATGCTTAGGGTCCGCAAATCATGGAGGACACCATTCAAACTAAGTCTAACTGTTGAGTCTTGGGTAGAAAGGATATGTTATGGATTATTAAACAGCTGTGGGTATTACAGAGGTCTCTGCTGCCATGCTTTTAGCATAGAGCATGACTCTGCCGGCTCACAGATCAGCAGATGTTAACATCGTTGGTTTTCTAGTTGTGCTTCTGAAAGTTATTCCCTTTGTCCTTACGCTGCACTGGTTTTACCTCTCTGTGCAACTGGATTGTCTGTGCTTTTCCAACAGCTTGAAGAATGTCGAAGCTTCCCTAGCTCATGTGGATGCCAGCTTCTTCCTGGGGAAAGTGTGCTTTCTTGTCACTGGGGGTACGTATGGCATCTGCCCTATTCCTCCTCTCCGAGTGGCACAACTCACTGTTGCTTTCCTTAAAACAGGGCAGTGACTTAACTTGAAACAAAACAAAGGAAACCAGTGGCTTTGAAAGCTTTGTTTAAATTATATCTGAACTCATCTGCCTTTTTTTATTGTTTTCTTAGATAAAACATTGTTCTCTTCTCTTGTGCTCACTTGCTCTTTTTTGTTTTTGCCAGTCAGACCTCTCTTCTCTGACCCTAATCCCTGGATATGATTTGTGTTATTGATTTTTATTGTTTTTCCTGTGGCACTACAGAAGTCTGTTCTATCTGCTCTTGCAGATCTCTCTTAATGATAACCTTAATGAGCAGTGAGGAGCATATGATACTGTGGTAATAAAATGAATCTAAATGGATGAGCTACTAAACTATTAAGTATAGTTTTCATACAAGACTGGTATCCCTGCCATGTGCTGTCTGGCTCTGTTGTGCCTTTAATCTCTCTCCCTGCCCCCCTGAAAGTGGAGAGGGTGCTTTCCTGCATACCCTCCCTACTTCAGCTCTGAGGAACCGGAGGGGCCAGCCTATACTGCTCAGTGTTGGAACAGAGTTGCTGTGTCCTTGGAATTTGGGGTCAGGAGGTGGGGTGGAAAAGAGTCTTGGCATTTTCCTGTGCTATGGCTCAGGACATCACCTTGTGATATGACACGAGCCAGGAGGGCTTCTGATAAATGAGTAGAAGATTCTGCCCCTGCTGACAGTGTACTGATGCCTTATCCAAAATGTTAATGTTACAGTACTCAGTAAT